AGGAGCAGCGAGCCAAGCAGTAAGGAGCAGCGAGCAGGTGGGTGGTAAGGAGTGAGGGGTCCCGGACTGCGAGAGGGGGCAAGCTGGGCTGAGGGACCCCCCCGCCAGTGCACAAATTTTTGTGCACCGGGCCTCTAGTTCAACAATAAAAAGAACAACAGATATTGTGTTGCAACCTATAAATGAAATATTTAAAACACATAGAAAGTTGTTTAACCAAAATTTAAGTAATTTAGCTCAGGTAAAATTATTTAGGGAGAATTTATACATTCCCTGATTAATAATAATTCTGATGATATTTTAAAATATTATACTCTTAGGTAACTTTTTAAATATTAATTCTGATGATATTTTAAAATGTTATACTCGGGTAATTTTTTTTAAGTAAGACATTCACCACTATTACATGTATATGTCTTCATGAGCAATCTTTTTAAGTTGCTTAAAGCCTTAAGGATTATGCTCTCAAATGCATACTTTATCTCAGTCTTAAGAATTATATTTATAAAATAACATGGGTTATTAGTAAGAATTGGGAAGAAAGGGTTTAAATTTAATGACATTTAAATTTAATTCAAATCCATTTTTAAGATAACTGGAATGTCAAGTAAACATTTGGTACACAAAAATAAGAGATTTGATACCTTTGATATTATATGGGAATGAATGAACAATTATTCAAAAGTGATTTCTCTAAATCTAGGATTTATGTAGGATCTAACTGTTATGCTCCCCTGTGAAATAACCTTAGATCAACTGCAGATCAAACTTTCCATTCTAACACAAGACCTTTAAAATTCTCATTATTTTGTAAGAATTATCTTTAAGGATTATAGTTTTCACAGTAAATTTTAACTATATAATACAGTTTCAATTTTAAAAAGTAAATTATATATATCCCATTTAATTACTTTTGACAGTAATTCCAGGAGTTAATTAATTTTAAACTTTGGGGGACATTTTACTATTGCCATAGTAACAACAATATGGTAAGTTTTTTTGCTGAACAAATTAATGAGTATCTCTAGTGGAAATTTCTTCAGATATAAATGTGAACTCCCAAAGAATTTCCATATTTATTTGTGTGATGTTTTTTACATTGCCCTACTCACCTTTTTTAGATGGCTTGGGTGGTACCACTGGGCCAGGTTGTATGTGGTCATAAAAATTATTCATGGCTTTTGGATCAAAGTTTCCTATAAAAAAAATAAAATCACCAGGCATTCAGAGTTCTTTATCCTATTATTTGAACTTTTTGTTAAGGAAAATATGAAAATAAAACATGTAAGAAAGGAAATTGTTTTCCAGGGTTTCAAAACTCATATTACCCTACTCTCTTTCCATTGAAATTGTTTTATCTTTCTGAGAAAAGACACAAGCAAACTGGCATACCAGTGTCTATCTACAGTGTTTACCTAAAGGAATATTTTTCTAACTGTAAAGCTAGTCTTTTTAGGCAGCGTTAAGCATGTGGCGCAGTTAGGGAGGTAAATGAAGGAGAGAAATGAAAGGCTGGCTGAACTGTTTTTTCTTTCTGTTTGTTTTGATGTTTTGATTTTAATGAACAAACCATAAGAAAGAAGATTTAAATAGCGAAAGCTCACCATATCTTTCATAATTTACCTTAAAATTTTATCTATTATAAACTCAACTGTCAATGAACCTAAATATATAAATTTACAAAGATTTTTCAAGTTTTATGTGATCAGCAGCTCATGGATTCCTATCTTCCAAAAAAAAAAAAGGAGAATCTTGTCACCTACAAATTTGCCAATTTCAGAATAACAGAACAATCCCTAAGAATTCTGTCTTGCCACACAATTTTCATCTCTCTTAAAATGTTCATTCATTCCTTGATCTAGTGTCTATTTCAGCCCCATCTCCTGCCAGGACTCCTCCAAGGTCAGTTTTGATCCAGGGCCAGCTTTTGGTCCTACCTTCAATTCTGTGAACCTACCACTGCAATCTGCTTATTCTTCACAATTCCAATTAAGCATTACAACTGTACACATGCTTATTTCCAGAGGATCCTATATGGCACCGATGAAGTCCAAATGGTTTTCCTCACCAAAACCAACAATAAAGCTGCTTTTCATCACATCATGCACTGCCCTGGACAGTGTGGCTCAGTTGGTTGGGCATTATCCCGTCCACTGAAGGGTTGCTGGTTCAATTCCGGGTCAGGGCACATGCCTGGGTTGTGGGCTTGGCTCAATCACCGATCCCTGGTAGGGGGTGTGTAGGAGGCAGCCAATTGATGTTTCTCTCTCACACTGATATTTTCTCTCTCATATTGATGTTTCTCTCCTTCTAAAAGTCAATTTTTAAAAAATCATGCACTGATTTACATCTAATCTAAATATTCTCCCAAATGTCTAGATTCCTTCTCTCATTTAAAAATTTAGATTAAAGCCCAGCCAGCATGGCTCAGTGGTTGAGCATCAACCTATGAACCAGGAGGTCAGTTTTATTCCCGGTCAGAGCACATGCCCAGGTTGCCAGTTCGATCCCCAGTAGGAGGTGTGCAGGAGGCAGCCAATCAATGATTCTCACTGACGTTTCTATCTCTCTCCCTTCCTCTCTGAAATAAAATATATATATATATATATACACACATACACTAAAACACTAGAGATGTTCAACATCAACTAGATTAAGATAGAAGAAAGGATAAGTGACCTCAAAAATAGGGTAGCAGCCTGGCCAGCTTGGCTCAGTCGTTGAACTTGGACCTATGAACCAGAAGGTCATTCGATTCCTGGTCAGGCACATGGCCCTGGTTGCGGGCTTGATCCCGTGTGGGGCATGCAGGAGGCAGCCGATGATTGATGCTTCTCTCTCATCATTGATGTTTCTATCTCTCCCTTCCTTTCTGAAATCAATAAAAATATATTTTTTACAGAAAAATAATATATTTTAAAAAGTTTAGATTAGAAATTAATATAAAAGGAATTCATATAAAATGTTTCCAGAGCATGAAGAATAGAGATTTAGAAATGCTTAAGCACCAAAAAGAGCTCTTTGTTGCTCAGTGGAGACCAAAACACAGCTCTTCACTTATAAAATCTTAATGGTTTCCCTTGCAGATCCTATTACAAATGCTTTTATCCATTTGGCTATGCTATTTTAAGATATTTTCTGAAAATAATTCATATGATGGCCCATGAAAGCCACAATGCTATTTGATATGTTAATTGGATCTTTTTATGCTTTAAGATGCTGCATATGTATTTCTTCAATTACTTAAGTTACAGCTGATGTTCTAATTTCTAGATCCCATTAGGCTTACTATAAATATCCTAACCAAATGTTTAAGTGTTTGTTTTGCTTCAAAGAACACACAAGCAAAAAAAAAAAAAATCAATGTTGTCTTCTAATATAGTAGCAATAGTTTGTATAGCCCCCCACATTATACATAGTAATTCTTTCATTGCTGAAAGATAGTAGGCTGTAGAGTAACTATTTCTGAAAATAACTTTAAGGGCAACTACATAAATTGTTCAACTTTCATATTCAAATTTACTTCTATTCAGATAAGTTCCATATCTTTTTAGGTTCCCCTGCTTCTACTGCTTAGGCTTGTCTAAAAATGGCAATGCAGTACTTTTATGTATATCTCTTAAAATACAGTAGAAACTCTTTTAGCTGCCATAATTAAGAACAGTAAGGGGGCTGATTAAAACACGAATTGTTAAGAAAAATTACACATCAACTTTAATGTAACAAAACATATAAATATGGCAATATTTTAATGACAGACCAAGACCTTTTCTTTATCTGTCTGTTGACTGAAGGTTCTATATTGTCTTTCTTATATAAGCTACACCTGTGATGAGCTAAAGTATGGTGGGCAAACTTTTTCTGTAAAGGGAGATGATAAACACTTTAGATATTGTGGACCTGTAATACTACAGGTCTGTGTTGCAAGCCCTCAATTGTACCATTAAAGCACAAAAGCAGCCTGGCGTGGCTCAGGGGTTGACCATCGACCTATGAACTAGGGGTCACGGTTCAATTCCTGGTCAGGGCACATGCCTGGGTTGCTGGCTTGATTCCCAGTGTGGGGCATGCAAGAGGCAGCCAATCAATGATTTTCTCTCATAATTGATGTTCCTATCTCTCTCCTTCTCTCTTCCTCTCTGAAATCAATAAAAAAATATTAAAAAACACACAAAAGCAATCCAAGGCAATATATAAATGGGCATGGCTATGTTCCATTAAAACTTTATTTAAAAAGACAGGCATCAGGCCCTGGCTGATTTCTCTCACATCAATACTTCTCTCTGTCTTTCCCTTTCTCTTTCACTCTCTCTTAAAATCAATGGAAAAATATCCTCATGTGAGGATTAAAAATAATAATAATAAAAATAAATAAATAAAAAGACGGGCAGCAGGCCAATTTGCTAACCCTGATCTATAATTTCTTGTTTTTGTTTCTTTAGAATAGAGCAAGAAAAATACTGTAAGAACATTTAATTTGAAGTCAGAATCCTCTTAGATTTTTAACTTGCCCCTTAACCCTTTATAGTTACTTTCACTCCTAATTCACAGTCCCTATGTGATTTGCCTTTGAGTCTTTAAAAGGTTATTTACCACCCTAGCTTGTTTCCGCTCAGTGGTTAGAGTGTTGGCCTGTAGACTGAAGGGTTTCGGGTTTGATTCTGGTCAAGGGCACGTACCTGGCCCTGGGTGGGGGTGTGTGTGAGAGGCAACCAGTTGATGTGTCTCTCTCACATTGACATTTCTCTCTCTCTCCCCCTCCCTTCTATTCTCTCTCTAAAAAAAAAAAATTAATGGAAAAAATATCCTCAGGTGAGGATTAACAACAACAACAAAAAAGGTATTTGCCTTTAATTTTTATAGGAAAAGCAGCTTCTCCTGCCTTCATGCCAGTTTAGTAACTGGCATAAAAGGTTTAGGAACTGGCACAAGTGACTCTTGGTAAGCAGACAATTCCACTGATGGGAGCAACAGTAAGAACATTTTGACCCTGGTGAGTTGGGTAAACAAAAGTCAGTTAAGAGAGCTTCTACTGTAGTACACTTCTATAAGAAAGCAATAAAAACCCAACAAAAAAACAAACAAACCCCACTACAACAAACAAAGACCCCCAAACTCTAAGATATAGCTGGATATTTTAATGTAACAGATAACATTAAAAATGGCAAATGGAAATTACTTTAAAACTGAGAAATCTGATATTCTGATTTGGGGTCCCTATTTTTACAAATATTTAGATGATTCACATAATAGGAACCTACTAAGTTTTAGAATTGAAACTTATAAAAAATCAACTTATAAAATATTTACAGTAAATGACTAAAAGATAAATACAGAGTTAAAACAGAACGGTCTTAATGATGAAATTACCAAAGTAAAACTATTTTTTGATGCCCCCCAATCCGATCTATGACCATGGCTGGAGTGATCTCTTTACCAGGACTGTAATCTTATAATGGACAAAAACTATTTCTTAAGTCTATAAAACCAAAATGATTGCTATTTAAGCAGCTTAAAACACCACACTATTACTTATGGTTTACCAAATAATCAAGTCTATACCTCTAGATTGAAGGAGGTCAACTTCTTTCAGTGTACAGTCAACATTTATCTGGAGTTGTCTGTTCATGCTTCTCAATCTTGTCATTTCCTCAGGCTAGTAAGAAAGGACCCAAAATAGCAATTGTGGGAAAGTCATTATCAAGCCCAACATTTAAGAACTGCTATTCATATTAATTGTTCTGATTGGTTATTACCAAGAAGATGGCCTTAATCCATAAGAGGGCATGATTAAGAAGTCTTATAGTTTTCAAGGAATGGTCAGGTAAAATGGGGACATTAGTATGGCCACATATAAAAAAATCTGCATATAACGTGGCAGGCTATAATACTAGACTGGTCTATCATACAAAATACTACCATTTTAATCAGAGAGCACTGAGAATATTTTATTTCTATGTTTTCATAGTAAGGGAAACTGTAGTAAGTAGGAACCTTTTAAACAAGCCACACCCATGATTTTAATTTTGTCCAGGATAGTTAAAATTACAACAGTACTGCTCAGCCAGTATGGCTTGGTGGTTGAGTGTCGACCCATGGACCAGGAGGTCAGGGTTTGATTCCCAGTCAGGGTACATGCCCGGGTTGTGGGCTCAATCCCCAATAGGAGGCGTACAGGAGGCAGCCAATCAATGATTCTCATCATTGATGTTTCCATCTCTCTCCCCCCCTTACTCTCTCTGAAATTAATAAAAACATATTAAAAACACATTACAACAGTACTAATTTTAATTAACACTGAGTGCCAGGTACTGTGTTCACCAGAATTCTCTCATTTTTCTTCAAAACAATCTTTCAAAGTAAGTACTAATATCACACCCAATTTATACATGAGGATAGCGGAGGCACAGGGGTTATATAATTTTCCCAAGGTTATAAAAGAGATAGCACTTATATAAAAGTCTTCTATATAAACTTATGTAGAAGCAATTAATCTAGTATGTGAAACTTTCAGGAACAAATGGATTCTGTTCTTCCTCCAACTTTGTTTCCTTCTGCTTTGACCTTTCTAACTCAACCTACTCCTTAGGCCTTTCAGGACTAACATAAGACACTGAAATGTGAAGAGAGCCCTATTCTTCAGTTAAAGCTTTTTGGAAGCCTTCATTTCCTCTGACATTCTGAATTCTTGTACTATTTTACATATATGTACAGTAAAAAGTTAGGGTTTAGACTCCAGCGGCATGGGTTCTGAAGCTTTTTTTTTTTTTTTTTTTTTAAGAAACTGATATAACTCAGTTTCTAAGGTGATTCTATAAAGTAAAAGATAAAAATCTGCTATGATAGGAAGACAAAATAAAATCCCACTCTGTTAAAAATACATATTTTGCTAAAAACTAAATACATTATAAGAGTGAAGAAAAATGAGCAAAAAAGGTTATTTTCATTCACAAGATCTTATGCTTAGGAGGTATTACTAGACTAACTGGGAATGCTCTCTAAATTAGCAGGTATCAAACGTTTAAAATAAGAGCTACAATCCCTTAGAATGCCAGGGGAACATAAAAGTCATTTAGAAACATCTATTAGGGATTGCTTTTCTTTTCTCATTCCTATGGGTAAACAATGTGACATTAGCATGTAAAGTGTTTATAACTTGTCTATCAACCAGGCAATATTAAGAGTTTAAAACATACCTGAGAATTTGTATTAAAGATAAAGCACTTGTTCAAGGATTTCAAAGAGTGATGCTGTCTTCCTAGGAATATGTGAAAGAACCTATTTTCTTTGTAGAATCATATCAGCAAAGTCAAGTACCTGAAGGAGCTGATCTTACCTATATATTGGGGTGGGAGGGAATGTTTTAGCCAAGGTGTCCCTGAATAGTCAAGCTCTGTAACTAAGTATGCAAAAATTATAATACACTTTATAGTCAAGAGACTACTGCACATTTGCTTATAACAACAACAACAAAAGCTCTTATCAACAGGCTCATTTCCAAAGACAGCAGTACCACTGGAACTCACTAAACTAACTGTTTAACTGTAAGATTCCTATGTACTTTTCCAAAGCTTCTCATTGAGGGGGAAAAGCCATTTTTGCACGTCACTACATTTGTCAAAAAGTACAGTTTTTCATGGTGAAGGGGCTTCGAGATTGACTGTGCATAATTTACAGTTATTTGTAAACTACCAGGATGTTTATATCTACACTTTTTTCAAAAGGTGACAGAAATACCTTGAGCCTACTGTTTCAGCACTTTAGGAAGATGTCTCACAGAGACCAATGTTGAAGACCACTGATGGTCTTTGGTGGTTTGGCCCCAATTATGCATCTGAAACTCAAAGCTGTGGGTTAGTTCAAAAACCCAGTTAGTCAGAACAAGATGAATGGGAGAAAAACTTGGGGGAGCGGGTAATTAACAGCTCTCTGCCTATTAAAATCTTACTTATCTGTCAAGATATAACTTAGATTTTCCCCTTCTCCATGAAATTGTCTCATCTTTGAACATTACCAGCAAAAAACTAACATTTCTATCTCTGAACTCGGAAGCATTTAATATTACTATTCAGTTGGCAAGCGCTTCTGATTTACTGCCTATCTTTTCTCTTACACACACACACACACACACACACACACACACACACACACACACACACAGATTCACAGACAGATATATGTATATCTTTTTACATACAGATCTCTTTAAGAGATGGCATCTCTCACAGCATTTAATACAATGCTTTGCAAATACTAGATTGAGAAAAATGATGGTGGGCATGCATCTTGTACTTTTACCCTCCTCCTTAGCTCCTCTAAGTTTCTGCAACTGTACACAGAGTTGGTCAGGAATGTGCATTCCAGTCTCAATAGTCACACTTTTAACAAATTTTTTATATACCGCTTGATTAAAAAGAATTTTGTTTGAAAACATGAAGGTAGCAATACAAACTCCATAGCAAAAAAGTCAATTCTCTATTACATAATCCTATGTGAGTGGGACAATGATAAGTAAGGATAGCTGTTTACTGAGCACCTACAACATGCCAGCCATTTTATATACAGTTGTCTTTTTATTAAAATGTACTTGTTATAATTCCCTTTTCTAGTTATGGAAAATCAACTGCAGAGAAATTAGATATAACCTGTGAGTGCCAGAGCTGTTTTGGCTCCAGAGCCTATGTGGGCACTCTTTCAACTATGTCATGTGCCTCAAATGAGCCTGTATGAACAAAAAGGAGATTCTGACAAAATCCTTTGTTTTCAGATTAATTTCCTACATATAATATGCCCTTGTGTTATGCATGTTCCTAAAGTTAAAAAGGAAATCATTTTTACAAAACACTTCAGATTTGTGTATCTCAAGCATATTTTCCAGTATCTTGCAACCAACATTTATTTTATACTATTTGTGAACATTATATAAATTGTTTAATGTGTTATTTAATCCTAACAAAAAAATCCCATCAGATGGGTAATGACATATATTATAGTAAGAAAACAAGCATTGCCCTAGCTGGTTTGGCTCAGCGGCTAGAGCGTCGGCCTGCAGACTGAAGTGTCTCAGGTTCGATTCCAGTCAAGGGCACATGCCTGGGTTGTGGGCTGGATCCCCAGTAGGGGGCATGCAGGAGGCAGCTGATCAATGATTCTCATCATTGATGTTTCTCTCTCCCTCACCCTTCCTCTCTGAAATCAATAAAAATATGTTTTGAAAAAAAAGAAAACAAGCATAGAGAAGGTTACTAATCCAAGGATATATGCGTGACATGAGAGCAGTGGAAGTAGGTTTCAAGTTCACACCTGAATTGAGAGCTCACTGTTTTATCCATAATTGTCCCTCAGCCATGCACTCCTAATAGTCTTCCATTTTACTGTAGGCCTGGCAGCAGAAACACAGGGGAATCACACACTCAAATTTCTCACTTCTCAAATATTATTGCCCACATGAGCTATCAATTTCTGAAGTTTGGTGATGGCTACAGGGGGGCTACATGGGAGTTCACTGTTTTATTTATCTTTGAAATTCTCTATAATAAAAAGTTAAAAATAAATTACAGCCCAGGACAGCAGTTTTACCAACTTCCTCTTTTTTCTAAAGAAGTGTCATCAATAAAAGCTCTCATCTAGCCCTAGCCGGCTTGGCTCAATGGATACAGCGTCAGCCTGCGGACTGAAAGGTCCCAGGTTCGATTCTGGCCAAGGGCACATACCTGGGTTGCAGACTCGATCCCCAGTGGGGGGCGTGCGGGAGGCAGCTGATCAGTGATTCTCTCTCATCATTGATGTTTCTATCTCTCCTCCCTTCCTCTCTGAAATCAATAAAGAAATATATTTTTTAAAAAAGCTCTCATCTAAAATTTGGTTTTTTTTGAAACACTACATAACCTATGCTACATTAGACAGTTCTCTACTTCCAACAACAAAAAAACCCAATAGGGCTTTATTTAGTAGGGGCTATCACATAGCAAGCGGTTGACAATCAAATCTTATATGGTTTTGTTAGAGAAAATAACTTCTTTGCTAAGAAAGTTTGTTTATGCCCTACAAGTACCTAAAGGACTCCCAAGTGCCCAACAACCACAGGTGGTTTCCCGTATGAGTTACATTCTTCAGTATCTCCCCTCATCAGAGGACTCAATTAAGATTTCAAGTGAGAAAAAATGAGGCAGAAATATCACCTTTCAGTTATAGTTTTGTAATATTCCAAGAGTTTTCAATATTAGAAAAAAAATTTCACTAAATTATTAAATACTAGAGGCCCGGTGCACTGATTCGTGCACCGGTGGGGTCCCTTGGCCTGGCCTGTGGGGATCGTGCGGAAACCCACTCTCTGACATCCCCCGAGGGGTCCCGGATTGCGAGGGTGGTTCTCAGGTGACACACCCCAGAATCGGGCTCCCTACTCTCTGGTTCCGGGTGTGTCACCCAAGAACTGCAGCTGCCAAATCACTGCAGCTCCTGCGTTGAGCATCTCCCCCTGGTGGTCAGTGCTTGTCATAGCTACCGGTTGGAGCATCTGCCCCCTGGTGGTCACTGTGTGTCATAGCTACCAGTTGTACGGTCAGACGCTCACTTAGGCTTTTATATATATAGATGCCTGTTTCTCAGCCCTGGCTGGTGTGGCTCAGTTGGTTGAGCATCATCCTGTGCACTGAAAGTTTGCCAGTTCGATTCTGGGTCAGCACACATACCTGGGTTGTGGGTTCGATCCCTGGGCAGGGCATGTATGCAAGGCAGCCAATAGATGTTTATCTCTCTCTCCCTTTTCCTCTCTCCTAAGCATGTCATTGGGTAAGGAAATAAAAACAAACAAAAGCCCTAACAGGTTTGGCTCAGTGGATAGAGCGTTGGCCTGTGGACTAAAGGGTCCCAGGTTCGATTCTGGTCAAGGGCATGTACCTTGGTTGCAGGCACATCCCCAGTCTCCCTTGCTCTCTGTAAAAAAAAAAATCAATAAAATATATTAAAAACAAACAAACAAAAAATATGCCTGTTTCTCAAAACATCCACTGGTTCCACATGACCAGCAGAATAAAGGTCAAACACTTCAACCTAGTGTTCAAGATCTAAGCCCCATTCCACTTATGAACATGAACATGTTAAGACATCAGAAATCTCAGCTTAAGTGAAAGAACTGTAATTGCTGCCTCCTGAAAGTCTCTGTCTTGATTTCAAATCTCCACTGCCTCATGTTCTTTTCCCTTCTAAAATGGCTTCCCCTTTCCTCTCTGCTTACACAGCAATTATTACACTGTTTAGGGCAGTGGTTCCTTACCCTTTTTTCCTTCAATCTGTTTGTAAGAGGCCTGACATATATGCCCACTTCTCTAAACTTATAAACTTTGAGAGAGATTACCCTTAGTTTAGAGAGAGTAAGAACATGAGGAATGGTTCTGTGAAAAATGTAGAGATTGAAAAACAGACAGGATTTGTACATGCAGAGCTTTAGAATGGCATTCCAGCAGGAGGAATGTGATAGAGCAGAGAAGTACACTGAGTATATACAGAAACTAGTTAACATATGAGTTCTCTTATAGGTTGATGGATCTATTCCTCCCACTAGCAGGTATGAAGTAAGCACCTAACATTGGACCATAATCACAAACAATGAAATATGGTCATTGACTGAACATTAAAAGATAAAAATGATAGGTGGTTGGATCAGATAAAATCTGTGATGTCCCAAGATTTTAGAGACTTGTTTCAAATTTTTCAGAACTGTTTAAGATCTTTATTAAATACTAGAGGCCCGATGCACAAAATTTGTGCAAGGGGCTCGGCCCTCCCAGCCCCGGCCCTCACAGCCCCGGTTTCGTCTGGAAGGTTGTCCAGAAGGACGTCCGGAAGGTCGTTTGGCTGTTCGGTCTAATTCGCATATTACGCTTTTATTATTATAGATTAACCAACATGTTAAAAATATATTATCCAAATCTTTTTATTAGAGTAGTTCCTGTTAGGACTGTTGTCAATACTGTTATCTTAGTTTCTACAATTATTTACACGTAACAAAATTGCTCTACCTTAATAAAGTTCATAGTCAACACTCCCAAAATTCATACTGATCTCACTGTAGCTCATTTGAATTAACATACTTAGAAAAATAATTTATTTTAATGCTTGGAAAAATATATATGCTTAGAACAATACATGAGAACAATTTATAAAATATTTGCTCAGGGTGCACTCTTCATTTCTATTTTGACACAATGCAACTTTTGTAAATGAGATCTATAGCTTGATTATAATCGTCAGTATTTGAAAATACTAATGAGCCTATGGAATTCATACATATGAAAAAAATAAAGCATCAAATTATTTTGATGAGAATTATTGAAGGCGAAAGTTCTTCATCCACTGTTTAAAAACAAAAAACTCTGTCAGAAATAGAACACCCCCACCTTCCTATCCAACACATCCCAACTTACCGTTGGAATCGGAGTGGTGCAGCTGACCCTTCTGAGCCGTCTCTGCATTAGGTCATGCTCCATACCGTTAACTTCAGCCTTCAATCGTTCTAACTCCTCTTTCTCAAGTTTCAATTGCTTTGCTAACCTCTCCATCCTTGCTCGCTGATGCAACAGCAAGGCTATAGCATTACAGATAAAGTAATTACAGAGAATAACATTGAACAAGTGAGCAGGAAATTTCTATATGCATAGCTAATGTACAGAATACCTGTAAGGAACCCTGTCATCTAACTTCAGTTGGCGTTAATTTTCATGTCTTTCTAATGCTAGCCTAGCTCATATCTGCTTTAATTTAGCTTGTAACTGCTGCCAAAATGACATTATCTGTATGTCCCTCTTGTTCTGTTATCCATAGTTTCCCTAAGATTCTCCTTGTTTTAAATACCAAGCATACTGATATTACTTCCCTTATTATATACTAAAAGAACATTAAATTCTCAGATGTCTTAAAACAATCTGAATAGACCTTTTAAAAACTCTATTCTATATACTTAGGTCCATTTTTAAGAAATAATTCTTTATTGTTGAAGGTATTACATATGTCTCCTTTTTTCCCCCCACTGACCCCCTCCAGACTGCCCCTGCCCCCTGCCCCAAGACCTCACTGCCCCATTGTCTGTGTTGAAGGGCCATGCATATATACTTAGGTCCATTTTTAATCTAACACTGTTCTTCATTATCAATCCAACTTCTTATAAATATCATTGCATCCTTCAAGCCATCCTCTTTTAGAAAAGATTCAAATTCTTTCACCTTGATGAACTTTAGTCTAGCCTCTATAAATCTTTTTCCCCACTCTGTAGTTTGTATTTTTAACAGTATCAATTTCATTTAAAAATTCTATATTTTTCTCACAATGACTGTTCTTCCTAAAAACCTTATTAGGCCACTACTCTACATTTTCATATTTTAAAATTAAGTCTGTAGATGGCTCTCAAGCACTAACCCTATTCTTAATAGCAATGCTACTGCCCACTATTTAATAAATAACTACTAAACATTTAATTAAAACTAAATAGGTAATATTAATTCCCCCATTTTGAATAGGAGTTCCCATCCCAACCATAAAGATTAATTTTCATAAAAGGGATAAAAGTACCTTGTGTATAGGCATAGTCATCTGATCCAGAACTAGAACTCCTGTGGTATTTATGGCTTCCCTTTTCTCCCCCAGAGCCTGGTATCATTGAAATGGGCTGAATAGGTTCTGGGGCTGCAGAAGGTTCTTCTTGGTCCACTAAATTTAAAAGATTTTCAGTCGTTGCTCGGCCTACGGTAATTTTAAAAACTGTAGTTGGGTTTGGTATTACACGAGGAGATGGTGATGGAGCGCATGAAGGTCCAGTTGGCTGTGTATATGTAATATACACAGGATTAACACTAAATGGAGGTTTTGGTTGACTGGATATCCCTCTTGAAGGAGAACTTGAGGGTGGAGTGGTAGCTGTGTACAACGAGTGCTGATTCCGTGGAGACTGCTGATTACTGATAGGTGAAGGACTCCTTTGAGAGGGTTCAACTGTAATTTCTATCTTCTTCATGGATCCTTTGGGTAAGCTAGATGTTGTATATGGGAGATAAGCTACTGAATGGTTTCCCTGTTTGTGATAGCTAGAAGGTCCTTGTTGATATGGATGAGGTGGAGTAGTTGAAGGACTAGGGGGCATAAAGACGTGGGAACTCGGGTGGCCCAACGGTGAAGGTTGCACTTGATGTTGTGGAGAGCTGAAGGGTGAAGGACACTGCGAAGGAGGTGGCGAATGGTAAGCAGGCTGAGGAATCTGTTGTTGTTTGGGAGAATACTGAGAAGGTTGATAGTTCTGTTGATGTGGATAAATAGGTAGAGGACGTTGGCTATAATGAGACACTGGGCCCTGTGGTGAGGACTGCCATGGGGTACTCTGAGGAGTTCGTCTTCCTGATGGACTCTGAGATGTCTGTCTAATATAAATAGAACCAGGAGACCCATAGAGATTGCTTGGAATTTGTGGAAGAATTTGTAAAGCTCTTGGTACAGTCTGTCCAGAAGGGAGGTTTTGGGATACTGTAACAGTAATTGGATTTGTACTATACCGAGGTATGTGCATGTATGAAGGAGGTGAAGGCCCCTGCATAGCAGATGGACTCATTCCTGTTTGCATCGAAGACGGCTGTTGAGGTGGCTGTGAAGGAGGAGTAGCTGCACTTCTGTTCTGTTCATTCATAAAAAATGGATTGTAGTTTGGAGTAGCAGCCACAACAGCTGGGGCCGAGTGTGGTTCCGGAACTAAACATATCAATTGTTTACCTGCTGCATGCTGTGGATCAATATGTCCATCACTTGAGCTATGTACCAGTGTTCGACCACCATTAAGTTGTGCTCCATCTCCTGGGTGGTAGCTACTAGGAGAATGGATACCCAGGTTAATATGCAAAAGGCGATTTCTATTCATTCTGTTGTCATCTGGACTATGGTATTCCATATATAAGTATTTGCTACTCTCCTGGGAAAGGGCTCGGCAACAGGCTTCAAGATTGTTGTTATTCTAGGGGAGAAAAATGGTTAAGGTAAATTGGCAAAATTAAAAAATCCTAATAGTGGAAGTCAAGCTTTGCCAGAGAGTTATGCAAATATGATTGTTATGGAATTAGCAGAGAACAGTATTTTAAGCACAAAATTCTTCATGGTCATCTATCCTTAAAAGGAGATCTCAAACAATAATTTTATAGACATTTAGTTTACATGACTAGTGCTACCGCTACTGCTACTGAAATATAAAGAACCTACTAATGAACATTGTGACTCAAGCCCAACTTTTCTGACTCCAATTCCAGGACTCATTTATACTTGTCACATCTCAAAAAATTAAAATGTTGGGCTAATCTTGTATTCACCACAATTGCTGCAATATATAAGTAATAGCCATCATTAATATTTAAACATGAAAATAACCATGCTTTAGTTTTCTAAAGGCACTGAAATCACAAAAGGAGAAAAAAAATTATAAAGCAGCCTTCACTTTTCTTTTAACCAAAGTTATCCCTATATAACTTCAACTGTCTCTATCACTATGAAAGATTAAGCTAAACAAAGAAATAAGTAAAAAAAAAAAAAAAGTCCACTTTTTGAACTATGACTCCATGACTGTGCCAAAGTTGGTATTGGCTGACTTAATGAAATTCTTCATAATCCTACAGTCTTGAGTTTTTACCTGATGAAAGGTAGCTTGGTAAACTTTCAAAATCATTTAAGGATTTTAATTTTTTGAGTTATACACACACAGATATGATAATAGCAAACATTTTAGATGTTTCAATCGACAGTAATGAAACTATTAACAGGTTCCCTCTTTTTTAATTTTAAGATATAAGACAGTTTCCATTAAAATATAAAATTCAGCCCTAACCAGTTTGGCTCAGTGGATAGAGCGTCGGCCTGCGGACTGAAAGGTCCCAGGTTCGATTCTGGTCAA